GTTTAATCTGCAGCTGAACTTGTCATGTGACAAACGTTCCACCGGTTCCGTGTGGAGCCTCGTATGCAAACATCCCGTCAGCGGCGTGAAGCGACTAAAAGGCACAAAGCGGGATTAAAGGAAAACACTCGAGCGGAGAACAAACGCTGGAGCTTCGTCTCTGAAGCGTCTTTTGATGAAGTTAAAGAAATAATGTGACGGCGCTGCTGCGACCGATAAACCTGCAGAGCTGCTGCCTCGCTTAGAACAAGATTCATCAAATTAAAACGTCTTCATGTCGAACAGAAACAAGAACGTGAGAGAAAAGCTTCATCCCGTCTGGAACCATTTTTTTGACTTTCTCTGATTTGCACGAGGTTTCGTAGCGTAAAATAAGAACATTTATTTAAAACAATCTGTATGAAATCAGTTCCAGGTCGACATATCAAACAGGTTTTTATGGGTTTGGCAGGTTTTGAAGTTTTTCAGCTGATTGAACAACATCTGGAAGCTTCTGCTGCTTCTCATCATGTCTCTGATCCAGAACCGGTCGTATCGGACCGCAGATGAAATTTAACAAAAAAACCTGAAGACATCATGAAAACTTCCATCTTTGAGCTCGTTAACAGGAAATTAATGAACCGGTGATGTTTTCTGAACCACGTGCAGCTGAAATAATGTAAAACTAAACATTAGGAGACTTTTAATTTGAAATATTCAGTCATGAACATGAAACTAAAGTTATTTTCACTGAACTTAACACCTGATTGAGCAGCTTTGACGAGTTGTGGCACAAAAACGTCGGCGGGTGGTTTGATCCCAGCAAAGTTCTGGAGTTTCTAAATGGTTCTACAGGTTCTGGATCAGTGACACGATGAGGAACAACAGAGAACAGTTCAGGTTTGTTCTCCAGTAGCTCCTCAGATGTTGTCGTTCAAACAGGCTCAGACAGAAAAAAGTGGGTCGACGGGAATTTCTTCAAGAAAAAAGAAGTTTGTCTCAGAACTGAACGGATCTGTGGACGTAAAATGCTCAGAACCGGTTCTAAACATCTGGTGGAACGAGGTTCCTTCTGATCAGTGGAGAAAAAAACAAGTAAATAAAAGGAAACATCGTCCAGAACGTAAAAGACGAGTTTTACCTCTGAGATGAGATTTGATTGGATTTTCCTGTTTTTGTTTTTATATCGTGTTTTCTGTTTCCTGTCAAACATCTCTGTGTTACACAAACAACAACCTGCACACTGAACATTTAAGGACTTTTACTGTCCAGTCAGACGGTTCTGTTTGGTTCTGTTTGGTTCTTTTGGTGATTTTTTCTAGCTTGTTGGAAGATTTAATTTGTTTCCTGTTTTATTTTGAAATTCTCCGCCCTTGCGTGTGCCGGGTGGCTTTACTTCCGGCCCCGTGTTGGTCTGGTTCCACCTGAGCGCCAGGCCTGGGCCTCCTGTCTGTGCTCAGTGGGTTTCTTCAGGGTTTAATCTGAACTCTGACGTCTCTGCTTCCTGATTCTGTGGATGTGATTTCCTGGCTGATGGACGTGACTACTTCCTGGAGCTGCATGCTGTGGACCAAACTTTGTGACAGGTCAGTGTGTCTTTTATCAGCGTGACTTGTTGCTGCTGTTTGAGGCTCTGCAGAGCTTCAGGACGTTTTCCTCCAACACGGCTCTGCAGCAACATGTCGGGTCGAGCGCCTCCCAGCAGCGCCGCGATTGGTTCAAACATGCCGCCGAGTGTTTTCACTCCTGAGCGACACGGAGCCGGATCACGTGGTTCTCCTGCTGTGGAGTCCACTGGCATGGATCTGTCTCCAAACATTGTCTGAAGTTAAAAAACCTGCAGAGCTCCAAGTGATCAGCGATCTCTGGAGAACCTGGAGGTCCAGAAGCCGGTTGGACCCACAGCAGAGCAAACGTTGGTTTAATGACAGAAGCCAGAATGTGACCCAGAGCTGCTTTTTCAGGCCTGACTGCATCTAAACTTCACATTTTTGAAATGTTCCCACATTTCAGCAGCCAAGTTGGTGCAAGAACATCAAAAAAACGTCCTGAAATACCCAAAAAATCCAACTTTAGGTCAGATTCTGTAGCAGGTGGATTAATGAGACGTGGTCCAGATGTGGAGGTTTGGTTTCTTTCTGTCAATCCGACGGCGTCTGAACACGTCGGCTTGGTGTTTAGTCTGTGGTTTGGTGAATCACTTGTTGGATTTTTTCCACATTTTAGCAGCAATATTGGTGCAAAACGATCACAGAGAGCATTTTAAATTCAATTCTGCTCTAAAATGTCATTTACAAACTGGAATGAATGAAGATCAAAGTTTCCTGGGATGGAGTCAGATTGTGTAACAGGTCCGATTCATGAGGTTCTGTCTTCCTCTTTCTGTCTGAACACGTCGGCTTCCTGGTTTTTCTGATTTGAGTCACTTTTGGGATTTTTTCCACATTTTAGCTGCAGTAATGGTACAAAACCAGACACAGTTTATGCATCTTTTTTATTCACTTCTGCTCTAAAAATGTTGTTTATGAACTAAAATGTGCATAAAGTCGCCGTTTATTCTGCACCGGGTCGGATCAATGCTGAGGTTTAGCTGCTTCTGAGGCCTCGTCCTCACGTAGCATCGTCTCTGACTCAGACGTCTGCTGACGGTTCGTCCTGTCGTCCACACGAAGGCACAAATCTACTGCATTAAAAACGTTTCTTTCAAAAACAAAGTGAAGATTTGCTCCGTTTGTGCGTCTGCATGTGGACGTCAGTAACCGGGTTTTAGGTTTGGAAGCATCACCGTCTGCGACTAAATCTGTTCTCACGTCACGTGTGCGACCCGTGTTTACGCCAGAAACAGCGTGGACGCCCTCGCTGGCTCTGGTCCAGGCCCAGATACCGGCTCCACGTCCAGGAACACAGGACGACGTTTAGGACGAAGGACGGTTCTTTTACGACCTCAAGACGGAAGCTCACTCTGATTGGACAGGATGTGAGGAACTGCTGCCACCGAGAGGTTTGGCAGCTTATGGATGGACGAGGTGGTCGGTAGCCTGGAGGAAACCAGGCCCGAGGTTCTGACACACCTGCATCATGAGCTCAGATTCCCTCTGACTGTGTGAACGAGCAGCTCTTTGCTAGCGAGCTGTGGCTACGAGCGGCTCCAGGTCTGCTGTGGCGGCTCCAGGTCTGCTGTAGCGGCTCCGGGTCTGCTGTAGCGGCTCCGGGTCTGCTGTAGCGGCTCCAGGTCTGCTGTAGCGGCTCCGGGTCTGCTGTAGCGGCTCCGGGTCTGCTGTGGCGGCTCCAGGTCTGCTGTGGCTCTGAGGCCGACGCTGACGTGATGTTTGGAGTGAACTCGTGTAACCCGTAACGGTCTGACAGAAAACAAGACTTGCCGCATTTTTCTCCACAACTGAAGTCTCGGCCTTCATTCTTGGACGTGTCGGTTCTCGTCTCGTTCCTCGATGACACAGCTGCAACTGAGCGGCGAGTTTCTGTGTTTGTGTTTTCTGTGGCCTGGGATGGAAATGCGACGCGGACGCATGTGGGCCTGATAGATCTGCGCTCTGAGCTCTGCTTGTTTTCCGTCGATCTGATGAACATTGGCCAGAGGAGATTCCTCGGCCCTGCCAGCGTCGTACTCACGTTGTCGTTGCTGCCGTTGTTGTTCTCGAACCTGGTGTCGATGCGGATGCTGAACTTGGGCAGGAAGGAAACCTGCAGGGAGGCGAGAAGGGAGGCGAAGATGAGACGGGCTGCGTTCATGTGCAGTAAATGAAGTGTGAGGATACTCACCGAGTACTCTGCAGCGCCGCGGCGTTCGGCGTGGAGGGAGAGAAACAGCCGGTTACTCATATGCATGAAGCTGCAGCCGCGCGGGAATACACGAGTACATGCTGATGAATATTTGATGGCAGCTGCTGTGAGTAAACAGCTGATGTTTACCTGTGATGGTGTGCGGGTAGAAGTTCCAGGCCTTCTCCGTCACGTAGAAGAACCGCGGGACGAACGCCGCGGCCCACGACGGCAGTTTGCTGAAACAGAGGAAGTGAGAGTGGAGCAGCAGCAGATTACAGACGCTCAGATCCTGAGTGGGTTCAGAGCCATTTATAGCCAGATTACCTGTAGGCGACTCGCGCCGCCGCTCGCCGCTATGACTCATTCCCAATTACACCTGTGGTGATGGATCGGTACTGTAGCGGCGAGGTCACATGTCAGAACATGATTGAGCTGGAATACATGGCGTACCTCCGTGTGTGTGTTCCTGCATATCTTTACTAATGAGGACCGAACGTCCCACAAAGATTAGAGAAATCCTCCACCAGTTTATTTTGGGATCAGGCTCCGGGTTTACGGCGCTGATGAGGTGACGCCGGGGTAATGAGAGGGGTTATCTCAGGGTCAGGGAATAAATTTAGAGCTAAAAGACTTTTTTTCCCCTTTCATTTTAATCAGAATTAACAGATTAATGGACCGTGAGCGCGAATAAAACGCCGTCACGCAGTTCAACCGTCGCCGTGAAGCGCCGCCTCCAGCGCTGCTCACACCTGGAGGTCTTAAAAAACGTGTAAACAGGAAGTGATCGCAGCAGAGCATGTCAAAAACAAGACGCAGAACAAGACAAGACGAGAAAGACTGACCACAAAACGAGAGAAATGAGACGAAATGATGCAAGACAAGAGAAATGAGACACAAAATGAGAAAAATTAGACAGAAAATCAGAAAAAATGGACACGAAATGAGCAAAAACAAGACATAAAAAAAAAAAAAAACGAGATACAAAATGAGAAAAATTTAACAGAAAATAAGAAAAATTAGACAAAGTTTGAAAAATGAGACACGAAATGAGAAAAGTCAAACAGAAAATAAGAAAAATGAAAAAAAAATAGGACAAAAGGAGACAATCGAGACAGCAAATAAACAGAAAAAAAGAAGTTTATCCAAAAAAAGAAAAAAAAAAAACAAGAACATTTTGAAAAAAACAATATGAAAAATGAAACAGAAGATCAGAAAAAAGAGAAAAAAAAGACAAAACTGGAAAAACAAGACACACAAAGAGAATAACGAAACAGAAAATGAGGAAAAACGAGACAATTTAGAGAAACAAGATGCAAAATGAGACAAATTAAACAGAAAATAAGAAAAATTCAGCCTAAAAATGGAAAAACAAGACAGAAAATGAGACAAACTTATAAAAAATGAGCCGCCTGTCAGGTTCAGTGTGTTTTCTGTTATTGATGCCAAATGTTTGTTTTCTGCTAAACCAATAATAACATAAATAAATAATATGAATAAACAACCCTGGACCTTGAAATTAAACACAGAACAAGACAAAATGGGGAAATTGAGACACAGACTGAGAAACAAAACAACAGAATGGAGACCAAACTAGTTAAACGTCTGGATGTGGAGCTGCTTTTTCTTCCCGTGTCGGTAACAACGAGGATGAAATGTCCACCAGACCAGAGACCAGAGACCAGAACTGGAGATAAATCCAGAACAGTTTCAGAACCAACTGATTCATGGACCTGTAGTCGCTCTGGTTTCACTTTAGTGGCGTCTTATAGCAGCAAATCCATATTTATAGAGCAACACGCTGGTGAATAAATCATAGGAGGAGCAGAAGGAGCTCCACATGACGGGGACGTGTTCCACTGCACTAAGACCAGAACACCAACCTGCAGCCCTAAAGCTCGTTAATTAAATCACCGTGTGGTTCGTTAAATCAGGTGGAATCATCGTCATTTGTTCTGGTTTGAAGGCTCCTCGTGTTGCTGCTGCGTGACATCAAATGAGGAGTTTTACAGCTCGCAGAGCAAACAAACAGGACGGAGCTGTGATGCAGCTTCATTACCTGCCGAAGCTCTTTCCCCAGAGTCAGGCTTAAGCTAAGCTAAGCTAAGCTAAGCTAAGCTAACCAGCTGCTGCTCGCTGAGTGAAAGCACAGAAGTAAAAAAGTGTATTTGCCAAAAATGATTCCTTTAACCCTGAAAAAGACAAATGTGGAGCCACTGATCAGCTGGAAAGTGTAGAAATGAATCGAATCATACATGACATGAATACGTCACGTGTGAAGTTAAAGGTAAAATAATCAAATCTAAACAAACTGAAAAAGGTTTTCACTAAAAAAAGATCAATTTCTGCTCGTCTCTGTTCACGTCGACATCAAAGCAATTTAATCAAATATCACTTTGATCTGCATTCAAAAAGGAAAAGTCTGGATAAATATAAACCATAAAACAACACAAACCAGACACAAAGTTATGCAAAACCAAACCAAAAAATAGAGAAAATGACTAAGAACAGACCAACAAAACCACAAAAATGAGACAAAACCACACAAATGAGACGGAAAACACCAAAAAAAGACAAAGTGACGACAACGAGACAGAAGTGTTCCTAAAACACATGAAAATGACAAATACTGACGGAAAATGAGACTAAACGAGAACAACGAGACACAAAATCACCAAAAAACTAAACAAAACCGTATTAGAGACGCACAGAACGACCAAATCAGGACACAAACAACAACAACAACAACCAGAGAAATCAGCTGAACAGAATAAAACTAAAAACAACAAACAAACCAATCGACCAGAAACCAAAGCGTCTCCGAGGGCTGATGAAGCTGTAAAGATGTTTTTATGTGTTTAGATTAAAGACTTTCTGTCGTTGTGATTTTAGCTTTTTCTGTTTTTTCTGTGGACGCTCCACCTGCCAGCAGACCCGGAGCAGTGGACCAGAATCAGAGGCTGGTCCTGGAGCTGCTGCTCTTACACAACCAGGTGAGCTCAGGTTTCGCTCCACTTCCACCGAAACTCCCCAGAAAGCTCCCAGACAAAGGCTGCCTGGACTTTGGCTGCCGCATTGTGCTGAAGCGTTTTATTGCCCGTCAGAAGCTGAGCAGAGCTTCCAGAAGCTTCCAGGTGAAGCAACGGGTCAAAGGTCGAGCAGATACCAGAGGCAGAACCTCCAGAGGCAGAACCTCCGGAGGCAGAACCTCCAGAGGCAGCGGGGCTTGTCCTACCTGCTCAGGTAGATCCTCTTCTCGGTCAGCTGTCCGGCGCCGTGCTGCGGGTGGACGTCCGGCTCGTTCCTCACCACCTCCACGCCTTCCCCCCCGCCGCTCTGCTCGCAGCTGTGCTTGCTGATCATGTAGAGCTGCCCGATCCGGTACTGCAGCCGGTCCGGGTCGGGGGTCGGAGGCGGGGACGAGAAAGACAACGTGGTGAGAAGACAAAAGAACGCTGCAGATGTCGCTTAGAAAGACAAACTCTGAGAGCAGTGTCAGTAAACGCAACAGATTCTGTAACCAGAAGTTCTGCTGCTCAGCGCTGATCCAGCAGGAAAATGAGCCCAAATCCAAGATGAAGATGTTGATATTTCTTCAAAATCACTTTAATCTACATCCAGAAACTCTCCAGATACTAAAACTAACAGAAACCCATATAAAAGCTAATATAACCCAAATACAAGCTGACAAAAACAACCTATATTAACTCATAAAAACCTATAAAACTACTAAAAAACGATGTAAAACTAATAAAAACCTAGAAAAAAAAATACCAAAAATATACAGAAACGTAATAAAAACTTAAATAAAACTAGTAATGACCTATATGAGACGAATAAAAACCTATAAAAACTAAGAAAAATCTATATTAACTCATAAAAACCTATAAAACTACTAAAAAACGATGTAAAACTAATAAAAACCTAGAAAAAACTATTAAAAAACCTAACTAAACTCATAGAAACCTATAAAAACAGTTGTTTGCAGTAAGAATTGAAGTCTTGGTGTCGACCTTTAGAACAACACAAACTGCGACACAAAACCTCGTTAAACTTTCTTCCTCTTTTTAAGTGTCTGTTTTTAAATTGCGACCCTCGCTGCTGATTGGCCGTCGCTCCTGTTGCGCAGCCAATCAGATTCAGAGGAGTCACACCTGCACCAATCCCACGCTTTCATTTCTCTGATGTTTTGGAAACTCGGCGGCGATAAAATCCAGACGTCTGCGGGTTTCGGAGCCAGACGGCCTCGGGGCATGATGGGAAATCTGATCTGGCAGCTGATTGGCTCAGATGTTGTTCCTGTAAACTCCTGAACCGACGGAGGGCAGAACGTCCGTCTGAACGTCCGTCTGAACCGGATCGGGCCGTTGCTCTGTTATGATGCTACAGTTTGATCGTTCATATCAAGATCAGAACTTCAGATAAACCAAACTTTTAAGCTTTTTTTGTGTGTTTTTGATCATTGGAGTAAATTGTGAAGCTAAAACTTAAACGCTGATTAAAGTGAAGCTTCGACGTGATGAAATGCTCAAACGGTGATTCTGATGGATGGAGATGCTGAATAATTGAAGCGTTTTGTTGATCATGTTCCGTGTTTAGAACCGTTTTCTGTAGAACTCCTACATTTAGTTTTATTTAACGAGTTCGTTGAGACGCCTCCTGGATTGGTTTGGGCTTCGACGCTGATCGTGTTCCTTTACGGTACCGGGGAGGATCTTCAGTGAACGCATCACTGTGGTCATTTCTTACTGAGGTGAACCTTTTCCTGTTCAGTGTGTTGTCTCGCTCTGTTTATAGGGACTGACTGGACTGAACGTGGTCCGTCTGAACCGGGCCGAACCCTCAGCAGGAGGACGCGTTGGGAGCAGAGTCTATGAGACCTCGTTGGGTTTATTATGTATTCGTTGATGTTGTTTCCTGCCGGGTTGTGCAGACGTATATAAATATGTATACTTTGGGGGAGAGCGGTTCAGTCCTCGGGGGGTTTCGCTGTGATTCTTTCTTTACTGGATGTTTTCTAACTTCCTGTAAGCAGCAGAAGGATGTTTGGGATGTTTCAGTCTGTCTTCTGTTTTGTCTCGTAAAAGTTCTGCACGGAAACGTCGTGAATAAACGCGTCTCTGCTGTGATGCGGCGCGACGGCGTGATGTTCAGCAAAACACTAACGTACGGCTGCTCAGTGAAGAACAGCTCCTGGTTTAAGACCAGCTGAGCAGATTTCAGTCGTAATATTTCACTGATCGACTGCGTTTCAGCTTCAGCCGATCAGCTGAGTCTGCTGTGGTTGTAAAGATTTAAACTGTCTACAGTCTGTGGAGTCTCCAGGTTTAATCCAGTGTTCCTAACATCTGTACATGAATGGTCAAAGACATTTAGAGCTTTCCTGATTCTGACCCTGTTGTTCTGCACAGAGGACATGAAACCAGACACGAAGTGACAAAAACCAAACATAAAACGAGTAAATGAGACATGAAATGTAAAACAAAGAGACTAAATGAGTAAAAGAGGCAAAAATAAACAGAAAACAAGAAAATTGAAACTAGAAACAAAACAAAAACAAGAAAAATTGGGAAAAACGAGACAAAATGAAACAGAATAAGAAGAATGAGACAAAATGAGGACAAACGAGGCAAAATTAGAAAAATGATGAAACAATTAAATCTAACGGTTCCAGACAAAAGTTCTCACATGAGGAGTTTAAACTCAGTCGTATGAAGTCAACAGACGTCACCGAGGAAACGACAGAAAGCGTCGACGGGAACCGACTCCAGCTCCTCCTGACAGGCTTTTACTCAGAGCTGCTTAGCTTCAGTCTTCGCTCGCTGTGTATTCAGATTTCCCCAAAGTGACCATATCAGATATCACCAAATTTAATTTAGCCGGCGAGGGCAGCGGCGGCGTCTGAACGAGGGGGAGGGGCCGGCCGGCGGCTGCAGCCACTCACAGGCTTCCTCTCAGAGACGACGAGGCCTTTGGGCATCGCGATACAATCTGTTGTCTTTTCTCCGCTCGACACGATAATTCTTCGCTTTTCGCCTCCTTCTCATCGCCGCCCTCCTTAACCTTGTTTCTCTAAACAATATTTGGTTTGCTCGCGCTGCAAATCGCTGCAAAGTTGTGATGAAGAGGCAGTAAAACAGCCGAGCTGCTCTGCTGAGGCCTCGAATTCATTTCTGCTGCCCTGTTTTCACTGTTTTAATTAAAAGCTGGAGCAGAGAGAGAGAGAGGAGGCGAAATGAGAAAAACACTAAATGTGATAATCGAGGCACTAAATGAGAAAAATTAAACAGAAAACAGAAAAAATAAGAAAATGGAGACAGAAAATGAGAAAAATGAGACACTAAAGGTGAAAAAGGAGGAACTAAATGAGAACAATAAGACATAAAATTAGTAGAGCAGGACTCAGATGTTAAAAATGAGACACAAAATAACAAGAAAGAGAAGAAGAAGAGAGACACTGAATGAGATAAACGAGATACTAAATGAGAAAAAGGAGGTCGTAAATGAGAAAATCAAGACATGACATGAGACAGCATCAGAGGAATGAGACCAAATGAGAAAAACGAGACACAGTTTGAGAAAAAATTGACATTAAATGTGAAGAACAACACAAAATGAGACGAAATGTTAAAAATGAGACTAAAGTAGATAAATGAGACAACATGAGAACATCAAGATAGAAAATGAGAAAAAGGAGAAACAAAATGTTAAAGATAGAAGAAAGAGACATAAATGAGAAAAACGACAGACTAAATGAGAGACAAACGTACGACACGAGGAAAACACAAAGTAAGAAAAATGAGACACTACATGAGATAAACAAGACAAAATGTGAAAAAGGAGGCAAAAATTTTTTTAAAATGAGCCAAAATGAGAAGAAGATGACATTAAATGAGAAAAACAAGAAACTAAATGACATAAATTAGACAAAATGAGAAAAACGAGACCCAAAAATGTTAAAAATGAGCCAAAATGAGAAGAAAGAGACACAGAATGAGAAAAACTAGACAGTAAATGACATAGATGAGACACAAAATCTAAAACACAAGACACAAAGTGAGAAGAAAGTGACATAAAATGAAATAAACAAGACACAACACGAGAGGAATGAAGAAAATGAAGAAAAAAAAGACGTAAAATGAGGAAAAATGACACATAAAATGAGATGAACAAGAGACTAAATGAGACATAAATGAGAAAAACAAGAGTATAACATAGAAGAAACACAAAATAAGAAAAACTCAACACTACATGAGATGAATGAGACAAAATGTGAAAAACAAGACAAAATGTTAAAAATGAGAAGAAAAAGACGTAAAATGATAAAAACTAGACACTAAATGACATAAATGAGACAAAATTTAAAAAACAACAACACAAAATGTGAAAAATTAGACAAAATGTGAAGAACAAGATGCAAAAATGAGAAAAAGGGAGGCACAAAATGATAAGAAAGCGACAAAATGAGAAAAACAAGACACTAAATGACATCGATGAGACACAACCTGTGAAAATGAGACACAAAACGAGAAGAAAGTGACACAAAATAAAATAAACGAGACACAAAATCTAAAAAAATGAGACAAAATGAGAAAAACAATGATTAGAAAACGGAGGCACAAAATGTTAAGAATGAGAAGAACGAGACACTAAATGACATAAACGAGGTTCTACCAGAGGAAACACTGATGTATGAGATGAACGAGTCCTTCTTGTGGTTTCTTAGTTTTTGCTTCACGTCTCTGTACGGTTCTGATGAAACCAGCCAGACGCTGAACGGACTCCTGACCCGTCGCCTCCCGTCGGTTCTGTCGCCCTGTTCTGGTCGTTTTAATTAAATGCAGCGCAGGAGGAGGAAGAGGAGGAGGAGGAGGACGGCCTTCAGCCTCCATCCTCCACCAGGTGACTCTCCTCCTTCTTGGTCCAGTTACTGAGGAACATCAGTATTCACCTATTGGCTGTTCACCGGCTTAATTAATCACCTGATTGGTGCGAGCAGACGGCGAAGCTCCGCCCACCCAGGTGTGACAGCCACAACACTTTCCATTTCTCCAAACCGTTTAGTTTTGTTTTCTTCCAGCGACGGTTGAGGAAGTTATTCAGGTTTTGGCTGCAGCTGTTTATAGAAGCAGGTTTACAGCAACGGGCTGCTCGTAAAGCCTCAGAGGTGTGATGGATCTCCTCGTATCGGGGCGGAGCTTCAGGACAGAACTTCTGACTGAGATGTAGAACGTAGCTGCTGCTGCTGATGGTGACTGAGGAGTTACTGGAGCTGCTTCAGAAGCTCTGACAGAACGTCGTTAAAGGCTTCTGGAGGTTTGATTTGACTGAAGTTAAAATGTGCAGCGAAAAGATAAAAAATAAAAATCAGTTGTATGGAAGAAAGAAAGAACGAACGACTAAAAAAGTCTGAACGTGTGATTCTGCTGCACAAAGTTTTGTATAATTTATTTTATTTTTTATTATATTATTAAGTGTTTTTTTTTTTATGCACTTACCTTCAGAATCACCCCAAAAATTTGAAAATGAATAATTTTTTTTGTTTTATTTATGTCATTTTTTGCTGGTTTAAATGCAGTAAAAATACTGTAACTCTATCATCAGTTTACCATTTATTTATTTATGAACACTGAAAATAGATATATTTTTCTGACTCTAATTGTTATCTATAATTACAAAAATAAAAAATAAATGTTGTGGTCCTTATGCAAACATTTTCTTAGATATCATGGCAAAAATCTGTAAAATATCGATATATTTGCATTAAAACTGTGCAGATAGTTTAATTTTACAGTCGAATGCAAAAGAATAAACTCTCGTGGACATCAGTGAGTTTTTTCCTGATTCTTTTAGATTTTACTGGTTGTTTTCTGTGATTCAACAAAGTGGGAAGTTGATTTCTTTTTGTATTTTCTGCTCATTTAAATGCAGTTAAACATAAAAGCAGCGTCCTCCTCCAGCCAGCTGGTTCCGACGCTCCGGTTCACTTTAGCAGAAGCTGGTATCAGAACCCAGACGGTGTGACCCGGCTGCTCTGGCGGCGCCGAGCATTGTGCTGCGGCGGCATTAGCGGATACTTGACAGCTCAGAACCAGCTCTCTTTAGGGGTAGGAAGCTGTAAACGGTTTGGACGGAGGCAGCCGCTGTCACCGCCTGATACTTCCTCAAATAAGCTGCGTTCTCGCTCACATTCAGGCCAAAGAGGATTTAGAGTTGCTGCGTGCCCCGCGCTGATACCGTAAATCCTATTTTGAAGTGCTGTTTGTCGCCGTCATTGTTGTGGTAACAGGTAGGAGCGCAGTGGGAGGACGGGGGAGGACGGGGGAGGACGGGGGAGGTTCCTCTGAAGGACACTTTGGAGCAAACAGCTCGACTCTGCTGCAGGTTTGTTTGTTTGTCTGCAGGCTTTTGTTGGAGCAACCAGTCAGACGGGTTTGTGGGCAGCAGCAGCAGCAGATGGAGGTTTGACTCGATGCAGCGCTGCGATGCTGCTGCTGCCGACCAGGCGACCCGACCCGACCCGACCCGCTGCCACCTGAGGAGGCCCGAGGAGCTCTTATCAGCACGCCCGAGATTACAAGATGGAAACACATGAGAGTCAAACCCCCCCTCTGAGGGAGTGTGGGAAAGACAAACACTCACCTCGTCCACCGTCAGCGGCATGCATATGCGGTACTCCTTGAGCAGCATGGTGGTGGCGGCGGCGGCGCCGCCAAGCTGTCGCTCTGATGAACTCTGGGACGGCTTCAGTGGATCTCAGCAGACATGCTCAGACAGCCGCCCGCTGACCGCCGTGACCTCCTTCCTCCTTCCTGGGTTTGTGCTGATGTCAGGACTCTGCAGAGTTCAGTCCCTTCTGTCAGAGAGCTGCTTTCTGTTTCTCTTCCTCAATTAAATCCCTCCACACCGATGCTGCTGCTGCCTCTTTCTTTCCTTCTTTCTTTCTCTGAGCTGTTTCTCTGTTTGCTCCCCCAGACGCTGTAATTACCTGCAAGCTCAGGTGAACCAACTCTACCTGTTCCCTCTGCGCTCGCTGCTCCTCTCTCGCTCTGCTTTTGTTTGATTCCTCCTCGTGTTGCCTCGACTCCTCCTTCCTTCCCTCCTCCACCGTTCTGCTGCCTTTAAATTCCTTCGCCGGTTCCCTCCTTATCTCCGCCGTCGCCGCCCACTGGACTTTCCCACCTCTCACCTGCCTCCTCCTCCTCCTCCTCCTCCTCCTCCTCCTCCCGGGCCTCTTGATCTTTATCTCCTCCGTCGCCGGCAGCATTCCTGCGCGTCACTCAGGTAACCGCCGACATCTCCGGTTCCTCCTCGCCTGCTCGGGGTCGGCCGGGTTGGGCCTTCGGGTTACACATTAGCTCCTTCAGCTGCCGGTAACCCAGCGTGTGTTTGTCGTGGTTCCTGGAGTCCGTTCCTGGAGTTCCTGACAGAACCGCTAACCGGGCCTGGAATCCTCTCGGAATCAGATTCCTGCTGCTTATCTCATCCAGAGGTGCTCGATCCTCCCCCCGACCTCGGCAGCCGATCGCTCCCATTGATTATTTAATTGCGGTTGGAGGGCTCGTTTGGGGGGCGACTGATCCGGCCGACCGTGGAGCCGATCGCCGGGTCGATTCCTGCTTCGATTCAGTTTCATTTTGAGGCGTTTTCACACCTTAGAAAACTGAAGGAGCAGCGTGATGAGTGTTTCCATCCGGATACCTGGATGTCGAGGCCTCTGCAGCTACACCTGGTGTCCTCCTCGTTATCTCTAATCTGCCTGATCAGATCTCATGCAAACTAGCCAGGCAGACGAAAATAACAGCCCTTCAGTGTTTACACAACTAAACCGCAGAAACACGACTTCTCCTGGATTACGCTCGTCGGTTTCTGGTTCTGATCGACGTATCTTGTATTTTCCCACATCAGATAAACCGGGACTCATCGGCCCGGTAGCCCAGAAAAGACAAGAGACGCTTCGAAGAGTCGTGTCTGAACCCAAACCTGGATGTTTTCAGGATCTGAATCGTGTCGTTTTGGGGCCTAAACGAGGAGCTGTTGTCGTCAAACTGTCACCTGAAGCGACTCAATGTTCCTGAATCGAGCAAAACAAAAGTTTCAGAATAAAAATCCTGTCGCTGACTCGAACAACGTCGTCTACGACTTCTAGTAAAGGTTCAATCTAATGCTCAAAGAAGGCAGAAAGGAAATTTAGCGTTCTGGTGAGGTTAGACGTTAACTAAGACGGAACATTTGGCGGATGTTTCCAATGTTTCCAAAGCGACGTTCCAAAAAAAACGTTTTCCAGAAGTTCTTGAAGCTTCAGATGATTTTATAGATTTGTTGTTTTACAATGTCCACGTTTAGCGTTGAAGGAACAAAATGTTCTGTAAACTCTCCAAAACATTAGTAGAACCTGGAGAGAACGCTGAGAGAACGTTTCCTGCAAGCTTGAGAATATTCTGGAAACTTCGAGTGATGTTTTTTTTTTTTTTGCCACAAATTCCCAGAATGTTCTTCCTAAAAGCTGGACAAGACGTTCTAAAAATGTCCGACCATAACGTTCCTCAAACATTTTCCGAACGTCGCGATGTGAAGAATGTTGCTCCTTTTGTTCTTATTATGTAATGTCGTGGAAATGTTTAGAACGCCGTCATCACTGGAAAAATGTTGTTGACATCGTCTGAGGCCTCGATAACATCTTGAGAACATTCTGATAACGTTCCTGTTAGCTACGCCCAGGCATGTCGTGGGTCGGACGCTCTGACTTGGTTCACGTTTAACATCAGAGGAACATTCCCTAAAACGTTAGCAAACATTGGATTAGTAAATGTTTTCTTTGAAACATTTTTAGAACCTGTAGGGAACGTTGCGGGAATGTTTCCTGCTCACTCGGTTAACAAAAGTGAAGCCGTTTGCCTCCAATGTTCTGAGAATGTTTCAGAAAAATCAATTTCTCTGGAAAACAAAAAAATAAAGAAGTTCCTACATTTGCTCTAAAAACGTTCTGAGGACGTTCTCAAAGAACAGCCACATGTTTTCCAGATGCTCTTAAGTGACTTTTTATAAAACGTTCCTGTAATGTGATTGATGCTCAGCTAGAACGCTTGTAGTGTGCTTTTTAAAACGTGACATTTTTAGTGAGAAGTTCCCAGAACGTTCTTCTTAAAAGCAGGATAACGCTCACTGAAGATGTTCTAACAACGTTTGGTGACAACACTCCTAGAACATTATGCAATTAGACAAACGTGTGTTTGTTTCATGCTGAATAGAACATAAATGAACAGGAACAGGAGGAAGGTTCTGCTTTTTGTTTATTCATTTATTTTACTGTATTTAAATCAACAAAAGTGTTGTTTTACAAATATTTGCTTTTGTTTAAAATAAAAAATATATATGGATTGAAAAATTGTGTTATTTTCCAGACTTTATTATGATGTCAAATCTGAGAAAAAATACAAATTTATTAATTAACTGTAAAAAAAAAAAAAAAAAAACTTTATATAACCTCCAAATGAAAAAATTAATATTTTTTTTTAAACTTGTATTTTTACAAATATTATTTAGTTCTTTTACAATGTGTAATCGCATATTTACATCAGCTAAATATATATATTACAGATATTCGCTTCTATTTTCACCATTTTTACAGTGTTTGAATGCTGAATGTTGTTTTAATGCTTCTTTTTCTGGTTCTCTTGCTGCCAGATTTTCACAGTTTATCTTTATTTATTTTACAGATTTTATTTATTTATGTATTTATCTTATAGTGTGCATGTCAGCTGGTTCATCATGGTTATATCATAGAAAAATAAAATACATGAATATAAATAAAACATATACATAAATAAAAACACAACGCTTTTGTAGCTTGTTTGAAGGGTAAACAGAAACTAGTTTGTGGCCCGCTGTGTGATCCGGCTGAAGACGTCCTTCAGAACATAATCAGGATGCAGTTTATTCAGGTTTATAGCTGCTGCGTTAACGCGTGTTTACTGGATTCAGGTGGTGGTTAGTCATTAACGCAGTAAAAGCTTCCTCAGTGCATTCAAAGCTTCATAGTTTCTGCAGGACGTTTATGGATCACGTCGCCGTGGCCACAGTTTGTTTTAACGTTGTCAGAATTACACGGAGCTGCATGGTTCTGAACTGGTCAGTGGCAAAGCTGAGGAACCAGAGTGTGTTCATGAGTTCATTCATTAATGACTTCTAAAGGTGTGTGTGATGAAGAATCTGTTTGTTTTCATGGTTTTAGGACGATGAGATTCACATCATGCAGAAGGACTGAACCGGCCTTCATGAAGGTGGTTCTTCCTCTTCGTTCTCTCCTGGTCTTTGAAAGAAAGAGTTCAATCAATTCAGAGATCAGCACCTAATTTAACACTTTGTTTTTGGAATTTGGAGTAAATACAGTCGTGACTCGATGATCCGACACTAAATGTAAAACCTTCTTTTATGTCGGATATCAAGGCTGTCGGATTGTCCAGACGGAGGTCCAGATACGAGGAGGGCTTGATGCTGGAAGGCTCATTAGTTGTTCATTATTGTTCATAGTTGTTATAATAACTAGTGGTTCTGGTCCCAGTAGAACTTTCTGCTCTCTGGATGTTCAGGCCCAGTTAATGATGAATATCAGAACATTCTGTGCAGTCGGGGGACACTTCCACCCCGGGGCAGCGCTCTGACGGGGTGGAAGTGTCCAGAACACACAGGCAGTACTTGGCTGCTGATGCTAGTTTAGTTAGCGCTCACACTTCTGTTTCCTCCATCGGTGGCGGCGGGGGAGTGGCAGATACGCTCCACCGTTACCATCCATGTTTACTTCCATAAACACTGAGCACGCTCGCTGCGTGTGACGTCGTCGTGTCCTCTTCTGCTCATGCGGGACACTTTTGGGTCGTATGAAGTTCACACAGCAGATCACATACAAGTCGCATTGAAGTGGAAACGTGAAGGAAGTCACAAAGAAATCCTCATTGAGCATCAAGTCCTGCAGTGTGAACGTAGCCAATCTGTGGGATTGTTCAGTCAGATAATACGCCGTCATCCTGATTGGTGACATTAAATGTCATGTCGGAGTCACAATCCAAGGCTGTCGCTATGTTAAGGCTGTTTTTATGGGTTCTGTTGGTTTTTCCTAAAAACCTGTTGGATAGCAGGTTTAGGATTGTTAAGGGATTGTCGAGTCACGACTGTAGTTTACTTGTGTGTACAATAATTTCAATATTAGTTTCCGTATCATGTGCAGCGTTTAACTTCATGTATTTTAGTTTCACATGTGATGGAGTTATTACCTCATAACGTCCAGCTTTGTTTTAATCTACTTATCATATTTCATTAATGTATTGGACTTCTATCTTATTGCTTTTCTACTTTTAGGGATGCATTTATTATTTTATGTCTTTCTGTTTCTTCTGACCGATATCTGCCACAAACACTTCCTTCTGTATTAATGAGACTTCATCTTATCTTAAGCTGCAGGAAGCATGAATCAGTGTTTCTGCTCATTTTTCCTCTTCAGTCAGTAAACTCAGAGATCAGCACATAATTTAACACCAACATTATCACTGGTGTACAGTAATAACAGTAGAACATGTGACTGTGGTGGTTCAGTCCAGAATAAATGTCTGATCGGTGCGTGGAGCCGGAGGTGATGCCGTTCTTCCGGCTCGGCTGCTCATCTTTATTTCCCGTCCTGCAGGACGGAGGAGCAGCTGCTGATGGAATTGGAGGGGACTTCATCGCACCGCTCACATCCCCTCACGTCATTAAATGAAAAATGAATGGGTGCACTTAAAACGCGGTGAGGCGTTCCGTGACCTCCGTGTTTCCTGAGCGAACGGCGCCGCGGATCTGTATTAAGATGAAACCGGGCAGAAGCAGATCATTAAGCGGTGGGACGGCTGCCATCGCTGCATTACCGCCTCTTCAATCTCCAGCTGTGGTCACGAGCCAAGGTCAAAGGTGGCGCGGTGTCACCGTCGTGCGTGTGAATGATGGCGCCCTGGATTAGCGGCGGTTCGGCGCTGATGCACTGCGGCGGCGGCGGCAGGTGAAAGGTAGAG